TGTTGAAGGAAACTGCTTATTGTAATCAATTTGTATTTATTTATTTGTTTTTTTTTTTTGGACAACATTAAGCAGAAGATATAAATATGGGGGGGATGCATTATTTACAGTAATGAAAAATAAAATGTGCACACAAAATGTTTTGTATTGATTATACAAACATATCAGTAATAAAGATATCAATTCCTCAAATGTTCAAACTCTTTGTTTCCATCATTCGCTCACTCCACTTAACCTGCAAAATGTTTATTATTTATTAAAAAAATAAAAATGATAATGCATTATAATAAAAATTATGCAAATAAAAATATTAAAAATCACCTTAAAGGCCATCCTATCGAGCAGCATTTAAGCTAGCTCCTGCAGAGGGCTCTTGATTGGGCCTTCATTGGAATAGGTAGGGAGGAGTAGATGTGATGAGCATCAATGAACAGATGAACTGCATTTAAGTATTGCATTAATATTTAAGCTTACCTTTTAAAAGTTCAACGATAATTCTTCTGCCACCACTTAATTTAAAGACAATTTGATATATGTAAGTCGTTACTCTCCATGCAAACAATTATTTTTAATTCAAGGGTGACTTTCACTGGATTTTGCAATTAATTTCCCAAAGTTATTTTCAAGTTATAAAAATTGTTATCATACACAGAAATTTGTCACAAAAAATCACATAAAAAAATTGCTGAAAACAATGGCAGTAATGAAAACTTGGGAATCCAAGATTTCAGGATTGTGGGTCCAAATCTAGTCCGTTTTTAAATCTAGTTCTGTTTTTAATTTGCTTATAGAGTTGGCCTGATTCCAAAATGTTATAGCGCCTCTAGGAGTAAAGTGGAAAAAGTGTCATAGTGACACACAGACATTGGAATTTATTATATAGAAGATGAGATATTTAAAAGTTGTGTCCCTTTAATTGAAAAAGTGTTACACACAGACATTTTCACATTTATTATATAAATGATTTTAATGAGTTCTAGTATTAAATGAATTCTTAAACCGCTATTATAATACAGGTATAATACTTACTGTATACCTACTTTTGCAGACCCCTGTATTGGAATAATTTACTTTAATAGTTATAAACGACTGTATATGATCTTCTATGTGCTTCCCTCTCTTTAGGATGAGGGTAATAATAGCTTGCTACAACTCCTGGTCTTTCATAGTACTAAGTTTTGCTATCACTCTTAATTCCTAGTCTGCTAACCATTTACACAAGACAATTATGTAAGTATCTTGCTACTTGCTTTCAATATGTGCTGACAGTATCAACTTCTCCAAGCCTTTTTTCTTCATTTTGTGCCCTAGAAATTTTGTCTTTTCCTGATTCTAAGTATGTGTCCTTTTTCTTTTCAGTTTCCTTAAAGCTTTATCATTGCTCACATGTTCAGGAATCTGTGTAGACATTATCATTATCTTCATGATATAGATGATCATTCCTCTACAGATTCCTTTTCTTTATTATCTGGATATTGCTATACCTTCTTGGGAAAGATAATGGAGTAGTTTCCAGTTGCCTTTTCTACAGTTTTAAATTCAGAGTTGGCATTCTCTAGGCTAATTATTGCATAAGGTTAAAGTGCCCAGCCTATCCTGCTATTTAACTTATAGCTGGTGGGAGAAGAGATAATTTCACGCCTTTTGCAAGGACATTACAGCAAAAGTGACTGCAACAGACTAGTTGGGAATTTGAACTCTGCTAGCTGGTTCCAATTTCTGCAATAATAACCATTACATTAGCCACACATCCTTTTTATGACTGGAAAACATTACAGAAATTTTTCTATAAATGATTTTACATTGATAAGATAATATATACCTATGTTTTTAAATACAAGCTACAAATTATTGTGTTTATTATTCTATTATAACATTATTAGAATTGAGTGCCATATTGTATTTTTTTAATTAAGAAACACTAGACATTAGGTTTAAGACTCGAAAATGATACCACCTGACTGACAATGGCCAAGTGAATATGTGTTGGTCAAATATTTGGAATTTACCTGGTGTTTGAGTTCAGTCCTTGGGTCAAATAGGGAAATTGATATATTCTGATTTAGTGAAACAAGCAAAAGCAGAATCATGAAGGCAAAATAGCAAAAAGTAACTAACTAGAAGCAGAATAAGAATACTTTAATTATATGGGAAGAATAAAGGGTTTGGTTTGAAATTTCACCCATAGGCAACTGTTGAAGGTTGTGATCATAACAACCATGATGAAGATAACATGAGATAAATAAGAAAATTAAACATTCTAGTTTGCTTACTTATGTATCCCCATGTATTTGTGCTAACTCCTTTCCGGATGTAGGTAGTCATGACCCTCCAATACTGTTTTCATATAAAGTGAACAATGGGTAAATTGTTGCCATTTTAATTTTGTGCATTGTTTGTTTTTGATTTTGTCGACTGCACAGTATATAGTAGGTTCAGTTGACTACCGTCTGTGAGAAAAAAAGCACCATGACGCAATTCCCTCCGCCAGAAATTTGGAAACTGCATGCTGGACTGCTTGGCATTCATGTGGGAAGATCCAATACAAACATTTCAAAGTATTTGGGTGTCAATCTGAGGAGAGTGCAGAGGATTCAGAAAGAGTTGGATGAGTCTAATGGTGATTATGAAGGTATGGCAGCTCGGAAAACTCACTCTGATTGTTTTGATAAGAAAAGAACTCCCAAATTTGTTGGTGAGAGCCTCACTCAACACAGAGGCCTACATTAAGTGCATTGAGAAGGTAGTGTTGCCCTTGGTCAAGAGGGTGACTGTTGAAAGACCGATGTCTGGCAACAGGACTCTGCACCATACCACACAAACAGGAGAAGCCAGTCATGGCTGTCAAACAATTTACATTTAGCCATCTAACTCTCTGTTGAAACTTGACTAATGCATGGAATAATAATGCAACACAAAATGTACTTAGAACAAAATGTATTGAAACAAGAAAGTGTACACAATATTTACATATAGTCTTTTGTATATTCCTGGGAAGACCATTCCTAGACAATGTAGTAAGGAAAAGCGTGAAGAAAGGAATGACTTTAAGGGACAACTATAAGAAGAGCGTATGGATCAAAAATTTGGATATTATCTACACGTCTTGAAAAATGACTGGATAGGACTAAGCTACTTAGAAAAAATCCAGAACATCAGTTGGAGATCCCCCGCAATGCATAATACAATTACGGAGAACTGACACCATTATCTCTCTTAAGCTCAAACAAAAAACGATTACAGTTTGCTGGCCATTGCCGCCGAGCGGGCAGGGACATCATCTCATCCTCGTCACCATTGTTGAAACTTGACTAATGCATGGAATAATAATGCAACACAAAATGTACTTAGAACAAAATGTATTGAAACAAGAAAGTGTACACAATATTTACATATAGTCTTTTGTATATTCCTGGGAAGACCGTTCCTGGAGAATGTGTTGACTTAGTTGCAGTCGGGCAGAGTCTCTGGATTGAATCTCTTGATTCCTCCCCCGTCTTCCCGGTACCAACCATATTTATATGGTCGGTACTCCACTATGCAAATTAAGTGGATCCTACCACAACACTCTCCAAACTTCAAACCCCTTGATTATTGTGTGTGGGGTGCAGTTGAGTGAGAGACCAACAAAACTCCTTGTAACACCAAAGATGAACCAATGACAAGGATTATGGTAACATTCACCAACTTAAACAAGGAAACTGTCCAGAAGACTTGCAGGAGATTCTTAAGTTGTCTGAGGCCGTGGTTGAAAGCCAATAGTGGTTTTGTTGAAGGAATTTACTCTTTAGTATTTCAAGTATTTTGTGTAATTTTGGTAAATATGTCTGTTAAAATGAGATGTCTGTCTTATTTTCATTTTGGCATAATTTAGATGACAATTTATCCATTGCACACTTTATTTTTACACTGCTTTTTATATTAAACATTAAACACTTATTTCAAGTTTTGAGTCCAGCAAACATACAAATCTTTTTTTCTTTCTCTCTGATGTTTTACTTTGTCTAAAATTTGATTTGTCACCTTTTCAAGCATCAAATGGGAAAGATATATGTTCACTAAGAGATGTCAGTTGGGGAAAATATAATCATCAGATAAATTTCAGATGAATCTGTTGCATTCAATTTATGTTAATGCCAATAGAAATAAAATCCATCTCTTATCATCCCCCTCCCTCTCATGCTGCCATCAGATCTAGATGAAACAGTAGGGTGGACTGCATTATTTAGCCTTGACAGAGCAACCAGTTTAGAACAACCATGAATTTAAATCCATGAAGACAGAACTTTATAGTGTCTGTTTTCCTGTTTCATTTTGGTCATTGTTCAACAAAATATGGTTAATTAGATCAGTTTGATTAGTAGCAAACTGTCTAGTAAGAGAGATAATCTAGTTGTCTTTATAGAAGTTACAATGTTCTTGACAATTAATTCTTTATTTTTGTTCACATGTAACATTAAACTCCTTCAATCCAATAAGTTAACCAAATGTTAAATTATCAGATTGCAATTTCTTAGAGGTGAAAAATTAGACTTTCAAACTCTGTCATTTACTGGCTTTCAGTTAGTGAACTGTCCAGATCTTCAAGAAAGCCTTTTATTTCAAGTAAATGCTTTCTCAATATGTTGCTTGCTATAAAATGCCTCCTTTTCCAGCATGTTTTTGCAGAATAGTATCTGTTTTCGAGGCCTCAGCTGCAACTGCTACTTGCCAATGAGAGTAGTTTCGTGATGATCTTTCAAATCCATCTTTTATTGCTAGTTGAATAACACAATGTTGTTGAATTAGCAATTAACTTAGATGTTTCTTTATAAATACCATCTTGAATTTCAATAATCTCTTTTGTTTTATGGTACTTTTGTTTGAAACTGTATCTAATATTTGTGCATTTTCTCTGTCAATTTTTCTCAATTGGATTTAATGTGTGAAACCGTAATTGTTACAATGCACAGAACTTGTTTGTTAATTTCAAAATTGTCTAAAATATCTACCTTTTAAAGGTCTTCACTGATGGGATTTACCTGGCTGTTTGTTACTTCCTATGTTTGAGGAGTTCATTTATTGTTTACATCAAGAAATCCAACATTTCTTTTTTCTTTCCATTTTCTTTTCTCTTTTTCATTTCTTTCCTTTTTTTTTCTCGTTCTCTTTACTTTTTCTCTTTCTTTTTCCTTTTTCTCTTTCTTTTCCTCTTTTTTCCTTTCTCTTTCCTTTTTTATCTCTCTTTCCTTTTTCATCTTTCCTTTTTTCCTTTTCTTTTTCTCTTTTTTTTTCTCTCATCTTTCCTTTTCTTTTTTTTTTGCATCTTCTTTCCACAGATTTCATTTCTTCATTATCTGTGATTTTATTGTTGTCTTCTTGTTTTTTTTATTCATAAGGCCTCTTTTTATTCATAAACATGTTTTTTATAAGTGTCTTTATTTTTAATTAATAAGTGTCTTTTATTATTTATAAGAGTCTTTTTTTAACTTGATGCAATTTATCAGAATCACTAAAACTCATTTTTGTTGCTTTCATCACCTAAACGAGACACATTCACATATGTTCCCCATATGTGATTGTAAACTGTGAAAAAAAACCAACTTGAACCCTTTTTTTTTCTTTTTTTTTTTGCTATTGTAAATTGATTCATGGGATGTTTTGTTCATTAATATAAATACCATAAAATGTTATATTTTGAAATTTGCAAAGTATTTTAAAAAATAGTTAATAGATAATAATAATATTATCTATGAAATGTTAAACTATTTTTACATATATTATAATGTTATTTATATTACAAACTAAATTTATTAAGAGTTGATGTCAGTATATTTTTACTGTCTCAGAACTTGAGAATTGTTTTTGACTATAACTTTAGTCAGACAAAAAAAATCACTTGAATTTTTTTTTTTTTTTAAATTTTTGTAAATTCCATGCTTGTTACCATGGCAATCAATTGATTTCTTTATTTTCTTGTATTCAAATTAAATAAGCTCTGTTCCTTGGATATATCAGTTTCAATGTCTGTCCATTTTTCATCCAAAGATTTTAAATGATCCTCTTAGTTTCTCAATTACAAAAATAATTATTTGCTAAGTTAGTTTAGACTTTATCAAACAAGCATGTTTTTTCTTTTATCATTCCTTTTAAAAGAAAGAACTGATTTTATAATTACATTTAAGGTGATACATAGAAGGAACAAAAAGAAAGAGGAAGGATGTCAGTGAATATGGAGGAATTAAAGGAAAAGATATTGAAAATATAAATTATTTGAAAAGCTGCAGGTGAAAGTTGCTCTCTAATGTTGGAAGAAAAACTTAATCCAGCTTCTCAATTAATTGCAGTGAGATTACTGGACTGTATGGAGTCATATACAAATGAAAATACTTTACTTGCTAATATAATTCCTGTATTTAGGGAAAAAATTTCTTTGGTAAAAATATATATTTGCAAAATGAGACTTCATAAAAAGTTCATTTTCTTTCAGTATGGAAAAGACTGAAAAAAAAAAAAGAAACTTTTTATGAAGTTTCATTTTGCAAATATGTATTTTTACCAAAGAAATTTTTTGCATTTATTTCAATTCACAAAAGATTGTCTTTTTCAGTTACTCCCTGTTAGCCTTTGCTATTTTTCTTACAATTTATTAAAATTGAATTTTCTTTTCTCTATGAATTCAATCCATTTATATTTGTTTTAATTTTTTATTTTCAATTATGTAAAATGAATTGAAATATCTGTGCTTATTTAACTAATTGAATGTTCAAAACAACAAAAAAGCAAATTTTATAAGCAAATTTTATAAGCAAATCAATCCAGTTCAACCTTTTCTACTAAAATTTTCACTTGTTCAGTTATTTACTGTTTTCAATCCAGATTTTGGGCAGTTTTCTGTGTGCTGTGTTCTTTCAGGACATGGTCGATTATGGTTCTCTACAACTTCCTATTCATTGTAGATCTTAACATTTTTGAAAAATTATCAAATAGAAAATATAAATATTTGACATGCATAATCAAAACCAAATGAAAAAATTATTAAATTAAATAGATATATTTTACAGTATGTTTAGAAATTTTTTTTTATTTCTTTTAATATATATTTGATTGTTTTGTTTTGCTGTGTTGTATAAGGAAGTGTGCACAGTGTATAATGTTCAATCTATGTAATTAATATTCAACACTAAATTATGTGAATTGAAGGAAGTTATATTGAAAAATATTTGGTGTGTAAAATAAATGCTTTTTCATTATTAGGCTGCATACTTATTGATATATCTAAATGTGTTTTAATTAAAATTTTAATAAACTCATGAATGAAACATTTTAATAAGACTTAATAAAAAAACATTTTGAAATTATCTTTTTCTCTGATTAAACAGATTTTATCCTTTGTCTTATGACTTCTTACATATTTTTACAATTATGTGCATTTAGACTATAGATGTTCATTTTTTTTAATGCCATATCCCTGATGTAGATGAACAGGACTCTCTACAGATTTCTTTCCTTTATCTGTGAATTGCTGACTTCTTGAGAAAAATGAAGTGGATGTGTGGGTGATGTAATAGTGGCGTGGAATGAGAAATCGGAGCCAAGTTCAAATTCCAGTTGGGTTTCACTTATGCACAAATACCCTTGGGAAAGGTATGAATTCATCTTCTTCTCCAAACTATGGGTTAAATAGTAAGACTTGTATCTGGAAAAATAATTTTTATTCTCAAAAATTGGTAACAAAATTTTCACTTGCAACAAAAATTATTCTTTGAATCCAAAATATGTTTTGTGTTTTTAATTTACACAAATGGTTGATAAACTGACAAAAAAAAAATATAAGGCAATCAACTGAGAAAGATAGTGAAGTGATTTCACATCACTTTCTCTATGGTTTGAAATTGAGTTTCTCTTCTCTTAGACTGGTTACTACCGAAAGATAAAGAGCTTGATCTACCTTGCTATTTAACCCATAGCTGGGAGAGAAGAGACCAATTCATGCCTTTTCCAAAGTCATTAGTTCCAAAGTGAATGTAGGTTCAGCTGAAATTTGAAATTTTGTTAATTCCACTTTCCCTGTTGATATCTTATACATTACCTGCACATCCACAAATGCTCATATTTTGGAGAATGTTTTTATGCATATTTTATTATAATTATCCTATAAAAAACCTAAATGCTTATAGATTTTGCATAAGACTGTTATAATAAAATGCATATAAAATACTAAATAATCTTAGATTTAGGAAGAAAAAACAGTAAATAAGAATCTTTTTGCAAATATAATTTATTTTTCCCAATAATAAACCTGAATCTTAAACTCAAAGGAAAACAATGAATGTAGTATAGTAAGGGGGTTCTGAAAACTTCTGATCAAGAACCTCTTCAAAATATATATAAATTCTGATGTCTGGCATTTGTTCAGATTTTGAGAAGTAGCTTGGATCAAGTTTTTGATCCATACTTCTGTTTGTCTCTCTTCTTTTTTCTCATATATATATATATATATATATATATATATATATATATATATATATATATATCCTTTCACCCCAAGCAAGGTGATAAAAGATAAGAGTCAAGGAGAAATAATTGATATTCCATTTAAATTTTTGAAGATCATGGTTTACAGGAAAGCCAGAAGCCAGACAAGATTTCTACAGGTGAAAAGTGAGTGAAATTGGGTTGGAAGTAGTTGATGGTTGTGTACACATGAAGTCACAAGACTGAGGGTTTGAGCATACTGGTCTTGTTCAATGACTGAGCATTGTCAGATTGTATACTCTTTTCTAGAAAGTGTAACTCAGGCCTGCTCAGCAGAATTGCAGTGTAAATATGCCTGAGCAGTTGTTTGCAACAGGGATTATCCAACCACCATATAGATGAGTATAGTTGGAAAATAGTGTCTGCCGTTACCATATTTGCCTTTGGATATCTCGGATTTAGTTCATTCCCTTTGATAACTGTACAAGTTTTTGTTTATTCTGCTGTGGCCAGGTATTGAATTCACAATTCTTTGAGTTGCATCACTTTTGGATCAGTCAACCAACCCTTTTGTCCACTGGGTCCATGCACTAAATAAAGGGTTCAGTTTGAAATTCCAACAAATATCACCTGAAGAAAGCTGGAGTGAACAATGGATGAAATGTTGTGAATATGGCAGTAAAGATGAGTACAACTGTCTGAACAGTGTAAATAATAATAATAATATATATATATATATATATATATATATATATATATATATAAAAGTGTGTGTGTGTTAAAACATATATACAAACATGAAAAATTTTATGTATGTATAAATATATCTCTTCCACGGGTGTTATAAATACAGTGCCCAATTTTATGAGACATATATATATATATATAATTAGTCTTAACATAATTTCCTAGCTTAAAGCACAGATGGTTTTCAGTTTACGTTTTTGTAATTTAAGTAATTAATGGATCTTTTTTCTTTTTATTGACATTATTTCTTATTACTATAAATGTTATCTTAGCAGGCACATCATTTTGAGTACAAATTCCTGTTTTTTTTTTTGTTAAACAGTAAAATTAAAATCTATTGGCCTAGATCATCAATTCATTTTCCATAAGTTCATATCCCTTAAGCTTTGTAGCGGACACATACACACACACACACACACACACACACACACACACACACACAAATATTGTTATTTTATATCCCTGGCAAGACCCCTCAAACCAGGACAGTTCCAGCCAAATCGAGGCATAGGATAAGCATATATAAGATAATAATAATAAAATGCCATTTTAGCAAGTTTGCTTCTGTTTAAAATGGAGAAAAATAATGAAAAATGAATGGCAATACCTATTGCAGCTGTTACTTAATTTTATATCCATCTTAATGTTGGCATCTCACAAAACAATGAGATGCAGAATCACAACAGAAGAGCCATTTATGCAAATGGATGCTACATTAAGTCAAATAAATGACCAAAGGCATAAAAGATAATTAAAAAAGATTTTGGGTAAAAAAATTTAAATTATAATTTTATTTTTTTTAATGTAACTCATTATTTGGTTTAAAATCTTTTACAGCGTTTACATGTAGAATATAAGAATATTTCAGATTGTTGAAAGCATTAGATTTCAATATTCTATATCTCTCTCTCTCTCTCTCGATCTATCTCTCTATATCTATCTATATGTCTATATCGATCTATCTATCCCAGTTTGTCCATATGTATATCTATGATTTTCATTAGTCTGTCCATTACACCCTCTAAAATAGCCATACATTAACCGATCAAAACCAAATTTTGGAGAGAAATGAAAACAGGTAAGGGTGCAAAGTACAATTTGTTTTACTGGGGTGCATTGTTTAGTACAATAAATTTTC